TATATATACATACATATATACATATACATACATACATAGGACTTACTACGTATTCAACTACTCAATATTGTTGGAATATAATAATATATTGCCTATGTCTTGATAATTTTTTCTATGTATGAGCCTAAGAATGAAATAAAATTACCGGACATTTTTCAAAAGGGGGACTAACCTTGAAATTTTAAGAAATTTAAGGTCATCAAAGGACATCTCAGAAGTCGGAAAAGCTCATTTCTGGCCATCTAGAAATCAGAATTTTTCCGGGGGGATTTTTTTTGGGGATTTTTGGAAACATTTTGAGCCCCCTCTTTCAAGTCCTTGTTCCGCCCCTGATAGATGTTCTAGCTGGGTACTACGGTACATTCCGTAATAATGGCTCAAAAAAACTCCGTCTTAGGTCTCCGGTCCGTCTTTCGGCCTTTTTTATATCCTGATTTATGAAATCATAGAAAAAAATCGGCGTCGGTTATGTACGGTAGTTCTGTGTTCGTCGTCAATCAACAGAAAATTCACAATAATTAGTGAGTCGTAAAATAATTCACAATTAGTGAGTGGTAAAATAATCTAGCTATCCTTCGCCCACTGCTGGATCCGCCAGTCCACTCATCATGGGTGCACTTTATTTTTTTCTCATTCCTCTCAGGGGCCCTACTGGAGTCACCCAAATGTAAAAATAACCACAAATGTCAAAACATTGTACCCACAAATGTCAAATTAACCGAATTTCATAACATGTATTAAAGCCACAAATTTGAAAATTAACCACAAAATAAAATCGCCTACAAGTGTAAAAATCTGTTTACAAATGTAACTACAAATGTAAACATTTCCATGTCATAACATATCATTGCCAACCGCAAATGTAAAATTTTATTTTAAGACAAGTTATCAGATACATGTATGGGTATGTTGTGTGTGCGTGAGGTTTTCATAAGCATTACAATCTTTAAAAATATTGACAGACCCTAATTAACTACATATACAGGGCAGCCAAGGAACCCATTTGCGCATTTTATTGGCACAACATAATTATGATAATATTGATGTGTAGATTTTATAAAAAAGTTGTGTGCCAAGTTTCTGACGCCTACGATGCCGCTCCTTTTAATTCAAAATGGCACCCCTATAGCCTACGCCCCTGTATCAATCTCCCTATCCCCAATATGTCAATATTGTACGCCACTAAACACAGTGAGCTACAGCAGAAAAAGTCAGACTCTTGTTAACAATGCCAGAGTAGGTGGTCATTTTTCTATTAGGTAACAGAAAATCTTTTTTCTGTAAGTACTGAAAATCGGCCGGAAAAATTGTTTATTTTGAGCAATGTTAATCTAGCTTGCGAAATCAAAATCTGCGGAATCAAAATCTTTGGCCGGCCGCCCGAGTTGGCCCACGGGCTGGGGTGGAAAATTAGGGGTATAGCCTAACGGGATAGTATTGAACAATCAGCACTGGAACACCAAGCAGCTGGGGCACAGCCGTGCCCAGCTGTTTTAGCCCGTCTGCCAGTACATCCTGCTTTAATTAAAAGGCGCAATATTCAGCAGAAACACGTTTAGTGCACGCCGATCAATGCTGGGGTGACGCCTCGCCGTTAAAAGATCAACACGAGTGTGTTAAATTATGCAATGACTACTTTGCACAGAACTCAAACAATTATCAATACTAACGTTACTAAAGGTTTTTCTATCGAAACCATCCCCATAGTTTAACTTCAGCCTGGGTATTTCGTACATAAACAATGCGTTATTTATTTCATAAATCTGGTCTGTACCAGCTTCTATTTGGGATCACTCTTTTTGGAGTAACTTACAGCGTTTTCTATGTGCACTGGACCAGAAATACTATAAGCCCACATTGGAATGATGGTCAAATCGATCATGTAAGTATCAGACTACCAAGATGCATGACAGCCTCAGGACGAACCATATCGTTAGTGTTTAATATTACTTCTTGAAGGTCATTATTATTATTATTATTATTATTATTATTATTATTATTATTATTATTATTATTATTATTATTATTATTATTATTATCATTATCATTATTATTATTATTATTATTATTATTATTATTATTAATTATTATTATTGTTGTTGTTGTTGATGTTTCATTGTTTTGATATTTAAATGTTTAATATGCGCTTTTTATCTTATCATATTTGTATAATTATAGACTTACAACAGGGGCGGTGATAGCGGGGACCTCTGGACCCCCACTTAGATCCCCCTGTCGAGAATTTCCAGCATGGTCGTCGGGGAGTAATCAAATCTCGAGCGCCGAAAGTACAATTCAAGCATGCCTTACTAAAGCTGTAACATTTTTGGGGATTAAAAAACAGTTTAGTGCGAGCAGTGCTACCGTATGTACGAAGTGTTTTATAGCCTACTATTGCGATCGTATGGCTTGCAGTGGTTGCGCCAGATCTTCCCCGCCAGGGGACTGGTACCTCCGACTTAAAATATTTATTTTATAGTGTTTTTAATTTTATATGTCGTTCAATTTGATGTACAATAAATAATTTTCAATGCATCGATAAGGAAAATTGGAGGATGAGTAAGCCCACCAAGTGTTTATCACCCAGTCCCACCATGGTCGGGGATGAGGCGAAAACAAAAGAGTGTTCCGGGGGTCCTCCCCATGGAAAATTTCCCCCTTGAATCCGCCACTGTATGGGGGAATCCTCTAACGCTCAGGTGACCGAGGGTTTTAAATCAAATACCGTAGGCCTATACTCGCGTATAGGACGACGCTTAAAATAGCAAATTACAATCGAAAAGCAGGGGGTCGTTATACGCACGACATTCAAATTTTAGATTTTTATAATCAAGTTCGTCTTATGTGCGGATCGTCCATAACATGCGAACTTACTGCTGCAATGAACCAACTAAGTGTTATATTAATGAAAACAATTTTAAATACGGGAAAATACGATTTTGGTGGTGAAGATTTAAAAACTCATAAAATGGTGTTGTTTGGAAGATTACCCTTGCATTTGGCTCCATTTATCCAGCTAGATGCAGTATCAGGATCACAAAAAATTAGGAATTCCCATGAAACACGCAGTCGTCTTATACGCCAGACATACAAATATCAACCAAAAATCTTCTAAAACTCGGGGGTCGTCTTATACACGGGTCACCTTATAGGACCTACGTATGCGAGTATACTGTATACGGTATTGCTTATTACAGAACCCCTGCGGAAGTTCGGATTCCCGTCACAAATCAACGGTTGGTTTTAACAATAAATTCGCAAGACTGCTAGCGACTACTAGATTCTACAAGTGCGTCGTTGGCTGGGTAATTTTGGTCGGAAAGGAGAAATTTTCTCTGTGAATTGATTCTCTAATGACTCAAGCTACTGTATGACCGTTTTTATATTTTTAATAAAACCAATTTCTTCTAATTTTAAATGCGTTTTCCCTGTATTTAATGCGTGACATTTTTATGATCTCGCATGTGTTTCTGCAAAATGCGTTTCATCCAAAATCACTTTGAAGTGATGCGTGACGGTTGGTAACTATGCCATAGATAACTGCCACGCCGTAGGTAAAATTGGTAAAAATGCACCTGATCGGACATAGAGACAGAGCCTTTAGTGGGGTCTACTCAGGCAAAACTCTTAATGCTCCTAAATTCTGAGATTTTTTAAAACAGAAAAGGTACGGCATTAACGCTCAGAAATATCTAAAAAAATATTTTGTTTAAAAAATTCAAGAATAGGCCTGTTGAGAACAAACTATGGTCAAGTCATATATATTTTATCGTTTAGGGCCTATTAGGCATTTAATGAATCTATGATATATTATTATATTGACAACATAAATAGAACATAGGCCTATATAGGTGGAATTTTGTCCAACCCGTCGTGAAAATGTACCGAATACTCAGTGCGTGTGAAAACACTTGCAAATAGTACTCGCTGCTTACTTGGTCTCGAATTCAACCATGGCCATCAGGTGCAAGCTCGGTGGTCTAGAGGCATGATGCCAGGCTAGTGATCTGGAGAACGTGGGTTTGAGTCCCACTGGAGAACAAACTTGCAAATATTTTTGGCAAGATTTTTCACACGCACTGGGTATTCAGTACATTTTCAAGACTGGTTGGCCAAAATTACACACATAGCCCCCCCCCCCCCCAATTAATTCTCCTGACGCAAATCCAGGTATTCTTTACATGGGCGTCGATCGGTGGGGACAGGGGGACACGTCACTCCCACTTTTCAAAATAGGGGAAAATCATATCGATTGTCTCCCCCCCCTACTTTTCACCAATCTTCTATAATTAAAACCCCACTTTTAAACGTGTATGGAAAGATAACCATTACGCATGACTCATGAATTTTGCCTGTTCACTTTTCCAAGTGCGGTACGTATTTTCCGGACCAAAACTGAGTAAAAACGCAATTGTTTATACGTTTCGTAACCATCTCAGAAACACTAGATCGATTTCATGGGTGCAGCGGTTATCAGAGGCTAAATTTATTGTGAAAACAATGTACTTAACGTTGTTAAAATTGGAAGCGTGTATACTTATTAGGCCTATGTTTTTACAAACTCAAAAGTGCACAATTTCTACTACAAACGATTTATTCCTTTTGTATATTACGGTATTATGACCCGTACGTATATACTAGTGTTTAATATTATCTACATACATAGGATTACTGTTTTACCTAATTTTTAAAAAAAAAATTATAGTTAGTCAACTGAATTTTATATAGCCATTATTAAACAATAATTATACAGCCTTTGACACAGACATGTCTATCTACTTCGATTTAGTGATACCAAAATTTTACAAACTCAAGTGTTACGTTGACGCAACCTCGCAATGACGTCATAATAATCAGTGGTGAATTCAAGTGGGGCCGGGCCAACCCTAAATTTTTCAAAATTATTTTTTTTAAATGGAAAAAACAAAAGCAAAATTATAATTAAAATTTAGGTCTGAGAGTGCCTTTTCCGGCAATCTAGAGGTCACAATCATAAATTTTCTTTCCTCAGCCCCAACCATGGTGCGGCACAGGTGATCTACCGTACTTTCCCAAATTGTGCAAGTCCTTCCCTGCCCTCCCCTATTTTGCATTCCTGGGGCCGCCACTGATAATGATAAATTAAGTAAATTACCTTATGTTTGTGAAATCAAAATGCTAAATAATGTTTTGTGTGCTCCCTATCTCCCTGTCCTGTTTTATCGTAAATTAATAATAATAACAATAATAATAATGAAAAATAAATTGAGTTATTGTAGTAACGTCAGCCTATACCTAAAATATGCACAATAATAATAATAATATTTTAATAACAATAAATTAACAATGAAAAGTAATAATAATGAAGTTATATATAATTAATAAAAATAAAACAATAATAATACAGTAATCGATTTAATATGTTGCATCTGTTGCCTGCATCTACCTATTCACTGTTAAGGTCATATACGACTTACTGTATTATGGTTATTGAAGTATTTTGTGTAAGCCATTTCTGTTAATTGAATAATAATATAACGTCCGATGTAATGTACTCACTATAAATATTTTATCCGTGTCCAGGATATCTTAATGGAATATTTATAGTGAGTACATTTTACATTATAAGTACGTTATATTATTATTCAATAAAGAGCTGAAATGGCTTACACAAAATACTTCAATAACCATAATAGACTAGAAAAAAAATCTGAAAAAAATGAGTTAGGGGGAGTGGAATGTTAGAACCAATCCACATAGCCAGATATCCTAATTAACCCCTTCTGGTCACCCTAAGCCTTGTTGACACTTGATTTTACTCCTGGTATACAAATGGCGGCCATTTTGAAAAATGGCTGCCAAATTTATCTAAAATGTGCATAAAATTGAAACTAAATAAGCTTTTGGTGTCTAAACTCATAATTTCTAGACAGGCAACAATCTAGACATATACAAACTACTGTCACTCAAGCCAGAATGGAACATAATTAAAAAATAGGTCTAAAAATAATCGCAAAATATACTTACTTAAAATGTACATAAAATAAGAACGAGTATATAAGCTAGTTTTCTATGTAATCCAGATAGATTTTTGAGCAAAAATAGATTTTATTGACTAATTTTATCATTTTTACTGCGCTGAATTCAAAAAAGTTAGGTGCCATTTTTTTCCCCAAAGTCATCGGCCGCCATTTTGAATTTCAAGATGGCTGACGCACCACATAAAACATGGTCATGATTGGTGTCAATGGAAAGCAGTGGCGGATCCAGGGGATTCAAGGGGTTCGGACGAACCCCTCTCTGTGAAGAAACGTAACAAAATACTGTTGGTTCCTGGCTTACAAAACGCATTACCAACCGTTCTCGCGCATCGTGCGGGACGGTCCCGCTTCAAAATGATTTACCATGTATTTTATTCTTTATTCAAGATGTGTATAAGAGACAGCGCATTTGGCGGAAACACATGCGTGATCTTAAATTTGTCACGCATTTAGTCCATGCATGACGACGAATAATCACGAATTCAGGGAAAATATATTTAAAATTAGAAGAAATTAGTTTTATTAAAATTATAAAACAACCATGCAGTAACTTGAGTCATTAGAGAGCTTTCGTTATCGCGTTTGAGATTCGATTCTCCAAAAGCTTTGGCGGCGCGTGTCATTATCCATGAAGCTATCCAAAAATAAAAACAAATTAAATAAAATATTTTGATAAATAATTTTCTCATTATAAATAAAGACAACGAAATTCCTAATATATA